ACAATAATACTATTAACAATAACAGTAATAATAAATAATAAAAACACACTTGACCAACATCAACACTCACCTTTGTATGTGCTTCCCAGGCACCAAGTTTTTCCGTTGTTTGGAGTGGTTTCCATAAATACACGGGCATTTCTATCTCCTCTTCTTCATCTTCTTCATCGCCATCGTTCTCCGTCAACGGTTTCTGATCAGCATTTGTCTTATCCCCGTCCTCATCATCACTATCACTTTCATCTTCATCTTCTGAAATAGTAAAAAGTAAGTGCATAGGGACAGTCACTGCAGTGGAACCCACAAGGAGCACGAGGCAGGGGTAGGCCTCGGGGAACATGGAGGAGATGCGTGGAAAGGGACATGAGAGAAATGAAGCTCACTTGGAACGAGCTTGGAAGGATGGCTCAGGACAGAGATAAATGGAAGGAGCTTGTATGTGGCCTATACCCTGCCCGGGGTGAAAGGCATTGATGATGATGATGAAGTGCATAGGGTGAACGTCCTCATGCACACATTTTTCTTTTTTAATTTAATTAAGTATTTTTACACCCTATCAACACAATCTGAGAAGCATCGTGGCGAAATCAGGTTCTCGTCAAAGCAGACAAATAGAACAAAATGACATTTTTCCATCCGTTCTACAATTATTACGGATTTTTTTGTTTCGGGCGTAACACCTTTTATGTCCTTTTAAAAACACATTTCTGTTTTGATTTCACGGAAAAACATCGATCAACGACACCAAAAATGAAAATTTTCCGTTTCCAAGGCCACTATAGCTCTGAAAGTCACCAAACTATTGTGGCCATTTTCTTGTTAATTTTACCTCGGACACCAGGCAACCCCACCTCTTTCAACCACGAATATCTCGACTTGTGTTGAAGATAGATGGATACAGTTTTTACCAAAAGCAGGGCAAATGAACAGATTTTATGATTATACCAATAGCTCTATATGCCCAAAAAATAGACAAGTGCTTGATCATTAAGCTTCACCTATAGGTATGACGTTCTCCACGGGCACAGCCTGCTCCTCCTTGCCCGAATCAAACTTGACCATGAGGAAGTGGTCAGAGCCGCAAGTTTCTACCACAACGCCCGGGTACCACACCTCATCAGACGATTTGGCCAGGCAGCGGCAGCCCTCACACAGTTTGCTGAGGACAGACAAAAGATAATTTGTTTTTAACACTTTGCAGTCACACAGCCAGCAGTACAAAGTACCCAATCTGGTCACCAAGCCAGGAGAGTGACAGCAACAGACTTCTCGGGCCTGGTGCAGAAATGTGCCAAGTGACCGGAACGGATAATTTCCACCGGTGCATTATTGCGCCAAGTTACCGCAAAGAGTTAATATAGGGAAGGGGGGGGGGGGTTACACCCCCATTGATACAGTTTAGATCAATTAGGAGTAGAGCTTTTGACCCTGCCTATCACGGCCAACCCGGGCTGACAGTAATACTACTTCCCAGCTGAATGACTGAGATACTAAATAAGTAAATAAAGCTTCAGTTGTTTAGGAATTTGTTCTCTATAGGCTCTTATAGCTGAGAATCAGTAAATTAAAAAAAAAAAAACCCCAGCTTATTTAATTGTCCGCAGCCTCCTTTCCATTCTGCTCATACATTTTTGAGAGTCTGAGTGCTGAAGTCGATTTTTGTGTTAGAAATTCTGCTTTCTAGTACAAATATAGGTCTTCATAGAATTGCTGATGCAGAAGAAAAATTATGAACGTTCAAGACTGGATCTGCGATAGGTATAATGAGAACGAAGTACAAAAGTCAAGAGGAGAGACCCTTACAGAACATTTCGGACATTATTGTTGTAGGCAAGTCAGCTCTGAGTAGCTTGGAAATCGAGCTTAGTTCTCCTGTGTGCTCAAGCAAAGTGTCTGACTGCTACACTGACCGCAGACACCAGTACACTTACCTGTGATCAGGCTCAACGTAAGCTTGAAGTTCACTAACAGGCACTGGGTGACCGTGGGAGAACCTGAAATCAACACATGGAGATGTGAGGGGGGAAAATGGTCACAGACAGATAGTGTGGGGGGTGCTAAATGATATCAGTAGTCGGTACTTGTTAACTCTTTAACCCTGAAATTATTTTCCACAGTTTGATGGAACTTTATTCCTGATCTCGTGTAACACCTGATGGGGGATACACACAAAATATTCATAGAATGGAGAAAACTGAGTCAAAGTGAAAGAGAAGTGGTTTATACATTTATGTAACACTTCTGAGTCTAAATAAAAATATTCGTATTCGTAATAAATTACGTAAACAGTAATGCTTCATGAAACCTGTGATCTGATCTGACCAGACGCTGGGACCATCCACTCGGGGACTGGGCGAGATTCACTGGACGCTCCCATTGTCCACTCGGGGTTATAGAATTACGAGCGATTCCCTTAGTAAGGGCAATCCTTTAGCGAAGACGTGAGGGGGAAAAATGTGTAACAGATATACAAAGTAAACCTCTCCGCCTTCAGATATCACTTGTTAATTTATAATTGTGGGTCACTGCAGTATGAAATAAGGCACTCATTAAAATAATGAAATCAAAGAAACCGTTATGCAATTTTATTTGGATTTTTTTCTATTTTTGGGCTGAACATATTATACGTTCATTTAAAAACACATTCCTGCATAGATTTTACTGAAAAACATTGATTTAAGGCGCAAAAAGTGTAAATGTGTTGGTTCTGGGGAAACTCAAGCTTCAGAAGTCACCAAACTTGGCAGCCATTAAAAACTGTTATCTTACTTTTGACACCAGGTGACTCCCACCTCCTTCAGTCACAAATATCTTGACTTGTATCTAAGATACATGGGTCTTTTTTTTTATGGTCTGCTGGGGTAATAAGATAGTGTAAAGCACATAGAGTTTGCTGTTGAGCGGGGTTATGCGCTATGCAAATGCTAATTATTTATTAGAAGTCTCTAAAATTCCCGGTCACCGAATCTGGGACAGTCCCGGGAACTTTGGCACAGTTGGAAAGCATAAATTAAATACCAGCTGCAACGAAAGTGCAGGGGATTTTTTTTAAAGGTATCACTCACCGGCATTCGTCATCCCCGAAGCGACAATTTCCCTCCATGAAGTATTTACAGGGAACCAGCGACAGATGGACGGGATTCACAAACACAACCCTCACCTGATCATAAGGGGGGAAAAATGATGTTATAAAGTTAATATCTTCTTTTTCTTCTTCTTCATATATTTTTAAATCAAATTATGAAATTCACCAACACAAACATGATACACAGAAACAACAGCGCTTATATTACAGTTTTGGAAAAGAAAAAAAAAGTAGCCTTTTCAAGAGGGGTCTGTTTTCCCAAAATTGTCTAAAACTGTCTTTTAAAAAAAACAACCAACAATCAGACAGATATAAAACAGTGTATATGACACACCCTCTTCATAAAGATTGCTTGATTACAAAAGTTTTATGTCTCTCCTCACACAATTTAGATTGTTTAGTAGGCAGGCTGCTTCCATCCTGCCTGCCAGGGCTATTCTCAGCTACGTCATATTCCAGCAAGAAGACAGAGACACTCCATAAAAAGAACTTCTAAAAAGTGGAAATCGAACTCACATCTTCGGCATAAAATAGCAAAGAACGCAACCTTTACTCTCTTTCCTGTGGTGTACAGTCAAAACTGTCCAAGACAGACACTTGGCTCATCAACAATGCGTTGACGTCTTACTCAGTTTCGACTGTAGACACCACAAAGAAGAAGATAAGAGACAAGGAATCTACCTTATGATCAGCAACAGCGTCTTCGTTAGATGGAGCGTCTGCCGATAATATCATGGCGTTTCCGTAGTGCAGACCACCCCAGTCGTGGGAAAAGGGAGCTCTACATTTTGTCCCTATCAAACTGGACAGGTAGACATCAGCGGGGCCGATTTCCCGTTCCTCCTCCCTCTCATCATCATAATAATCATTATCATCATCATTATTATCACCAAAGTCTTGATGTTTCTCTTTTGACGTCGATGCTGAAAGAACCTGTTGTTGCCTAGAGGATGGGCCAGGAGACTGCACGTCGTCAGCCAGGGCAGCCTGTGGATATTGTCAGTGGCCAAGTGAGGAGTGAGTCCAGGCTCAAAAGTAATGTTAAGTGTCGGTGAAACAGGGTCTAAGTGGGTGGTCATCGAGGTGTGTCCTTCATCATGATATGACAACCCTAGGTAAAAAAAACAGGGTGCTGCACAGAGGAAGCCAGCAATGCCATGTTTATGAAATTGTTCTGCATCAAGGTAATATTGGGTATTTGTGTTTGTATTTACGCATATATTCATGTATGTATATTTGTAATTATGTATTTATGTATGTTTGTTTGCCATTGTAACCCAAAATCCCCTACTGGTATCAATAAAATGTAATTTTTTCTTCTACTTCTTAACCCTTTGAGCCCTCGCCACAGGTACACCAGTGGCAGGTAAAACTGCCATATGCCTGGCCACCAGTACAACAATGAGCGAGACCCTATCCCCAACATGGCCCGTCTGGGACAAAACGCGCCCAGAAAACAGTGTTTACAACACAGGATATTACTGATTATTTGGAAGATCTTTCTGAATTAGATGCTGGTAATGACGAGGACTACACTGTGTGGGATATGGAATGTGATTCTGACAATCTTATGAATGTTAGTAATATATCATTGCTCAGGAGCTCAGGCAGAAGGGCATGGTAGCCTCAGGAGGTCAGGGCTCAAAGGGTTAACTCTTTATTTCTGTAGGGCGTAAACCCACTATGAGAAAAGACGCTTCTTTGGTGTGCAATCAAAAAGCGATATACACGTCACTAAATCGGTTATTACATCAAAGGAAATTAACTTATTTTGATAGTTCCTCATCTAATAACAGCACTCCCGGTAAAAGAGACCTGTTTCCGACAATTGCCGAAAAATGGTTTGACATCCAAGTCTGCCAGCGGCTCACTGGAACAGAGGCTAAAACTGCGAGCCGCTGGAAGGGGCTTGTCAAAGATAAGGAGTTAATGATACTCAATTCATTCACTTTCAAGCTTAATTTGGAGGTACAATAAACTTCACTAAGGACCATATCCTTGGCAAGCTCTTCGGGTGGCTAAGTGAGCAGTGAGTTCAGACTCAAGTACTGTCAAGCAAGTGTCGGTAACATGGGGTTTAGATGGGTGGTCACTAGGGTGTGTCCTTGACCAAAACATGACAACCCTTACTCAAAATACAGGGTGCTGCACAATGGCGACCGGCAGTGGCATGGTTGTAAGTTGTTCTGTACTGGTGTAATATTTGTATTTATGTATGTATTAGTGCAAGTATTTATGTATGTTTGTATTCATAATTATATGTATGTCATGTACGTATGTTTGTATGTATGTATGTACGAGTATGTATGTTTGCCACTGTAAACCAAATTGCCCTTCTGGGATCAGTAAAAGTGAAATTTATTTATTTAAAGACATGTGCTTGAGAAATAGTTTGTTGACATTTAAATTCTACATGTTGAAAAAAGCAAGAAAAGATAAATACTGTGAGCAGAATTGACGCCCACGTCATCAAAAAATAAAACACTACCAAAATTACCTGAAATGCTGCGTATTCGTCATCAATGGTAGACTCTGCTCCTTGGGCAGCTCCTCCACCAGACTCTGGCACCCCGACAGACTGGAGCAGTTTTGCCTTCTTGAGCTCCAGCAAACTGTCTGTGAAACAAAGATCATTACATGCATGTTGTTAGCTCAGTTGGTATATTGTTAAGACATAGAGAGTGGATGGCCCTGGTTTGAATCACCGACGGGCGTTTTTCAATCGGTTCGTTTACAGTGTTCAAGGTTCTTCGTGATATACCAGGATTGACCCTATTAAAGACAAACGTTTCGTTATAGTAAGAGTCTTACGGCACTTGTAACACAAATAATAGGTCATATAAGTGCCGAAGATTACAGGTTTCACAAGAGAGTTACATAATATGTAACTCTCTTGTGAAACCTCTAATCTTCGGCACTTAAGAAAAGAAGAAGGAACAAGGACAATAAATATTTGATAGCAAAGCAGGAGCAAACCACACTAAAGGACCTACAGCAACCACCCAAAGACAATGCTTTAAAATTAATGTGAAGGATCCATCCACCTCTTAAGTGTTCAAAGAGGAGTTTTAAAACCCCTACCTCTACATCTACAAATCAAAGGTGATCTTGCTCAAGATTAAAATATTGCCCTCAGAGCTTCACTCCAAACTTGTGTGTAGAGCCTATATTGAAAATTTCAATTTGCTTTTAAAAGAGTCCAAGACAGAAAAAAATATGCCTACTGGCAAACCAACTTCTTGTTTTTCGCAGCTTGGAAAACAAAACTGCAACTGCTGACTGGACAAACAAAAATGACAGCCACATGGAGCTAATTGAGGTATTCTGACATCTTTTTAAAAAAAATGCTATGTGCCATGTAATCAAGGTAAACATCAAAAGTTTCATCATAGGAAGAGTTGAGCTGCATTATTCACCTTCAGTGAGTTTAATGAGTTCTTGAAGATCAGTCCTGAGCTGGATAAGGTCCGGAGACTCTCCAGCTGCTTGAATAGCCTGACTGACCTGTGACACCTGGGGGAAAAAATGTTGTTGTTTTATGCCTCCTTCGATACATTTAGAAGATATTTTAAGAGATGGGCTGCTTTGACGCTAACAATCAGGGCCAACCAAGGCTGAGAGGGATAAAAATCCGCTCACACAACAATTGAAATCACTCTGCGTTTGATAGCAAAGAACTATTCCACAGAAACTTGAAGTTAGGAGAAGAAATTCAGATATCTGAAGAACCAAAACAATCAGTGAACTGTGATAGCACAAAGAAGGAATCTGCAATCTAAAAAACAAGCCAGTCAACGCCCCATTTAATTTAATAACACAGTGGAGGTCAGATTCAACGAACTTGAAATTTTATTAACAAAAACTCAGATTCAACAATAAGGAGTTGGGTTCCCTATTTTTGTCATTCATCAAAATCAGTAAAAATAACTCGGATTCAGCTAACACATTATAAATGAGCAAGCTTGAATTCAACGAAGTCGTTCGCAGGGTGAACAGTCCCCGCTGACATGGCTTCACTCATTGTCCTCCCCCAACCCAACGAACCTTATCTAGATCTGTTCCAAGAAACTATCCATGGGACCTGCATCGTGAACCATTTTTTATTTGCTTAGCTTAGTCTATTATTGTGTTTATATCTTGCGACCAATCACCAGCCTTCATTCAGTCCTACCAACGCACACGTTGTTGGCATGCACACATATGTCGTCTTACTTAGTGTGTGTCAGGGTTGGACAGGCGGCCAGCACACATGAGACTGTATGTCGTGTGCCTGGGAGGAGGGGGCACAAGCTGTCCATGCGTGGAACGTTAGTAGAGATACAAACGGGTCACAGTTATTTTTTACGCCGACTACTGATCAATATTGCAATAAAAGCTAATGGCTAATGTTGACATCTGATGAAGTGCGCGCTGGTCTGCGGAATCAAATGTCGCCTTTTGCTAGGCTCTACACAGAACAAAAATAACTTGTTCAGCAAACAGTACGATATAGATGATAGATGACACAGGTGTGCATTTGAACGAATCACAGTCCTTTCGCACCATGTGAGCTTGGCAGAGTTCAGTGTATTTTGCTGCTCTCTCTCTCTCTGTCTGTCTGTCTGTCTGTCTGTCTGTCTGTCTGTCTGTCTCTCTCTCTCTCTCTCACACGCACACCCACACTACCGGGTTTGGGCGCTGAAACTTTCCTAAATCACAAAAGAGTTCCCCTACCGGGTCTGTATACTTCGTGACTTTGTTCCAAGTTACCGGGTCTGTAAGCACTTCGTATCCAAAAACAGTGGTAAATCTAAAGAAAACAAGACCTCTAATTGTTATTTGTCATCTATTTACGAAGCCTCTTTGAATGGAAAACCTGACTAAACCGAAGAAAATTCAGCTCAGTAGTCCTACAGATTTCAGTTCAATACTTTAAAATCCGACTCCAAACATAGCCAATGTGATGATTTTCACTCACTGTCATTGTATGCATGCAGCACACATCACATTGGCAGCAAGGGTGTATGAACGAATCTGGTGTAATAAAAAGTAAAGGGTTTTCTAGGTGGGGGCTCACAAGACAGGTCGAACTAACTGGACAGTCTTGACCTCGTCTGCTAGCCAGTTTTGCATAAAAATCTCACTCCAAGTCCAAGTGATCTTTAAAATGAAAAATAACTTTATATAAGACAAGACTACAACTACAAAACAGAATCTCCATGACTAAGACGACGGGCTTCCATCAAGTATATCTACCTGCGCTTTGTATAATTCCAGTGAAGCCTCCTGTTTTGTTTCTTCGTCTTCATTCATTTTGCCCCGTTATCTTATCGTATTCCCCCTACGGATTCTAGTATCAGCAAATTGTTATTGTCCGTCCAATAGACGAGAGCATAGCCGGAAACAACTTTCTTCTTTCGTTTTCGCCATTCGCCAGAATTTTGGACGTATGGTTTTAGATGTTTATTCTGACCAATTTATGAATATTTGGAACCTGATTTGAAAGAATATATAAATCATGAAATTGATATTTTGTGTGATTTGGCGACTGAAAAACTTAAGTTTTGGATTAACAAGTCAACGTATCTTTTAAAGGTGCATTTGGGGGGAAATAAATTCACCGTATTTAGTGACAAACAGGCATAGTCCTCACCATTGCAAGCCCATTTTAAGGAGAGCGTACTCTTAAAATAAGAAAGATTGGCAGAATTTCTTTGTTACTTCCCTTATACTACCATCACAATAATTGCAGACGACTTTCCTGCATTATTGTTGACAATTGTGTGCTAGTCATTGATTGAATGACAGACTGCCGTTTGTGATTGTAATACAGTAAGAAGCTACTTCTTCTTCCATCTTTTTGTGAGAACAATGCCAGTTTTGCAACGCTCTAAGAAAAGGAGACAACTAAAAGAAGGTAATAGGTAATGGCCCAAACAAAGACAATTTTTTAAAAAATCTTTTGTATATTATATTACAATATTCACATTGGAATCGGTAAGATTCCCCGTTGAAAAGAGATAGGCCTACACTCTAGAATTTTAGATTGCTGTAAGTACTTTTTAAAAGTAACCTAGACTTTCTAGAGTCTACACTAGTTTTTTTTAATGCCACATTCGACAAACTTTGGTTGGGCTTCGACCCTGCCCAAGGTGAATTGGGGCGGGGACTCAGTGAGAGGAATAGAATCTACAACATTTCAGCACAAAGACTGAGACTCGACAAAAATTCTTCCCACACGGGAATCGAACCAAGTCAAATGTACCGCACAGGCCGGTATAGATTACTGTTCTAACAATGAGAAAGCTACTTATTTTCGCTTTCCTGTTCAGCTGTATTATTTTCAGCTGTCCCCATGGTTTTATGCACCCCGCATAATTTAGCAAAATTTGATCTTTTTTTTTCTCCATAATTTCTTATTATTTTCCTTTATGAATCTTTTAAAAATTATAATATAATCGCATACAATTTCACATTTTTGGGCTCAGTTTGCATAATTTCAGAATTTTTCTTGCATATAGATCTAGGCCCTAACGACGGGGACAGTTTCAGTGAGGAGAAAAAAAGTATTTAGATCTACGGTAGCCTAGCCTATATTATAATTAGACTACACAGCCTACTTTGTTTTGGACCAAGTAAGAGTGTCTGTCTTTCACTTTGAGTTAAATCATAAAGTTGAGTACATATGGAGTAATCATTGCTAGAATTCTGAGCTTATATATGTAATCTGTGGGCGAGTGGTCTGTTATGGTTTGCTTCGTCAAAGATCGTTCCAACTATATAAGACAATATTATATCGCCCTTTTCTCTCCTCCTTCTTTATACATGTATGTTACTATCTAGAGTAACACCTCTAATCTTCCGCACTTAGATGTCCTAATCATGTTGCAAGTGTCTTAAAACTCTTGTTAAAATTAAAAACCTCATGGTGCTAAATGTGACTAAGGACACTAAGGTCTTCGTGTGTGTTCAGGGGAAAGTGTCTTTAGATACTCGGAGAAACGAATCTGCCC